TATTCGAAAAATCGTGAGTGAGAAGAAACTAATTTTAAAAGAAAATTTTAAATCTTTAAATCATAGAGTATCCATTTGTGCTGATATATGGTCCGATCATTGGATAAATAACTTTTATTTAGGGATTACTTGTCATTGGGTTGATGATAGTTGGACTTTACAAAAACGTTTAATCGCTTATGTTGCATTTCATGAACGACACACTGCTTCTAATATTGCTCGTTTAATTTCAAAAATCTTAGATAAATATAGTATTGGTAAAAAAGTATTTTCAATTTCATTTGATAATGCGACTGCAAATATGCATCTATACGTGAATTAAATGATGTTTGTACACCAATCTGTGGGGGTAGATTTTTTCATATTCGTTGTATATGTCATGTTTTAAATTTGTGTGTTCAAGCTGGTTATCATGCTTTTAAGGATTCTGTGACGCCAATAAGGGAGGCCGTCAATTATTTGCATAAACGTCCCCAGGAAATGAAAGCATGGGGACGATTTTGTAAGAGTGTTGGAATTAAACCTAAAAAATTCCAGCCAGACGTGCCTACCCGGTGGAATTCAACATTTAAAATGTTGAATGTCACCGCTGATTATGCCGAGCATTTACAGGATTTTTTTAATGATCCAAACCGTAGGGATTGTGATGTTCGACTTTCGGCGAATGATTGGGCAAACTGTTCACAACTTACAAAATTTTTAGAAACATTTCAAAACGCTACTAATATTCTTTCTGGTGTTTACTATCCTACTGCTCAACTTGTGGTCAGTCAATGTATAGCTATAATGTGGGGTTTTAAAGATATTTATGACTTAGAACCTTTTAAATATTCTGGTCTAGTAGAAGATATGTTACAAAAATGGCTAAAATATTATTATAATATTCCCGATACATTTTTAATTGCATGTCTGTTAGATCCTACAGTTCGTGAGCAAGGTTTGTTAAATCAACTTAATATATATTATAATTATATGTATCAATTGCCACTGCCGAGTGGGGTCCCGTCTTACAGGGACAAACCTAACATACCGCAGCTCATCGAGCA